CTCATTTTCCCGACCAAAAAAAGGGGGGGGGGGAAGAAACAAGTGAGAATGGCGAGCTTTGGCTTCTTTTTCAATAAAGTCTTTTTTTCACATACAAAAAAAAACATTCTAAGTTGTTCGTTCGTTATTCCATCTCAATTTTGCGCCTTTTATAATGAACGAATTTCGACTAAGTTTAATTTTGCCTGAAACTTAATTCTGCCTATGACATATATATAACGTTTTGAAGATATGTAAATAGTTAGGCATTATTAAGTGCATATTGCATTTTGAAAACTGCATATATTTTGCCTGAATATTTACATAATACGAAAAAGTGCTTTTGTCTTTTATTCAAATGATGACGCTAAAAATAGCAGAGGATAGAACTATATTATATTCGAAAATAAAATACTCTTTAAAACCTGTCTAACTTCACGATTATACACAAACAGATCAACAATATCACATAACAGACATAGTTCAGCTGAGATGGATAAAATCCGCATGACAATCAGATCGACATAGGTATACGCCATGACAACTGTCATCACATAGATAGGCATCCATCCACCAACGAAGATACAAAACATGAATATCATATGTTGAAGAAGATGAACATCACGCCGACTGATTTTAGTCTGATGCTGTGCTCGTGCTTGGTTCTGATTAGTGGGATTAATCATACTGATTTGAGTTGCTCCTGTTTCTGGTCGAACTCGCAGCGATGATGCACGGACATACTTGACTATGATACTATTGATAATCACATGACTCAACGATGGAACAATGACTACCAGAATCAATGTGTAGATTCGTTTCCATTCGGCTGTTGCACAAGACTAAATATTCAAACAGAATTATGAGAGATCTGTCATGGATCCTTATTTATATCTTTACCGATTGATCGATTAATATCGGTAATGAAAATGCGACACCAACACACCACTGACTTAACACACAAATGGTAGCCCATTGTTTCGTTTTGAAAAATAATTTTGTTGGATACACGATCAGACATAGTCGATGGATCGAGACCACTGTGAAAGCAAGCGATACTTGGAAAGTACACAGCACTTGAGTATAAGATAGAAAGCCACAAGTATTTACTGAAAACAATTTCAATGGATTAAATTCCAACATTATATAGTAGGTCATCCAATAGAGTGCACAAACGATAATTGCCAAACACACATTGAGGGTGAACATATTGATTTGACAATGAAAACGTCGAATGCACAAAATTGTCAGAGAATAAATTAAAGTTAAAAGAATAATTAGAGCGAATAAACCGATCTGTATCAAAGTAAATACCAGTGAGACAGTGGACATTTGAATTCAATCGTTTAGACAATGCTTACGCTGAAGAGAGAAATCAAGTGAATGAGCTGATACTTTAATTCTCTATTGAATCAAAAAATTGTAAAGGAATAAAATTTGACATCCGCTGACGTACAGACATCCCACAGGCCCTCCTTTCATACAAGTTATATTTTTAAATCCTCTGAAAGATATATGTGTATCTGATGCGTCCCCGTTGAGTATATTCATGATCCATTTATAATCTTTTGAACGATATAGTTTGAAGGAAGATCCTTTTCAATGATCCTTATTTACAATGACGTCAACTATGACGTATCCTAGCATCCTCAAATAACATCAAAGATAAGGAAATATATATATCTGATCTATGTTCACTTGTACCCCACATTGCAGAATGTAAAAATGTTCAGAAGAAAATTAATAAATTTCTGTAGCCCGGTGTTCTCTTCCATTCGAAATGTACTTCGAGTTCTTTTTTTTCATGATATTCTATTTCTATTTCATTAATAACATTCATTTCACTGTCCGTATAAGAATAAATCTAGTTTTTTCGCACACTCTATGGATATCGAACTCAACAACTTAAGTAACCTCATCACAGACCCATTATTTATGTTATTGTGTAATTTTCATGATCATGAAACTGCTCTCTTTTTTCCAGGCTAAATGTCATATTTCAATTTACTATTAAGTGTGAATAAACTGGAGAAATAGCGTTGTTATTCTGAGATAGTTGAATCAACCTCCAATATTAATAGCTTTACTTTACTATATTACGGTTCTTTTCTATCAACGAAAAATTGTCTTCAAACGAGAGCAGATTTAGGTTTTTCCAGAATCTCGTGTGCCATTCTCTATTGACGAACAACGATAGAAAATCCGTGAATGTGAAAAAACCAAGTTGCACAACGCAATAGAAAAGGAAAAAGAATATTCCCGATGGTACCAGATTCACGTACTGTGTTTTTTCGGCTGAGTCAGAAAATATGTACATGAAGGTTTTTTCCCTACTCTTGCACATTGTATATAAATAAATGCCTTCTTCGATACATACGCATTCTATATCATCGACAACGTCAAAGTATAACTGACATTCTTCTGTGTTTATGAATTCATGATTGTTTTCGTCATTATATCTAGATATGCAAATTTTCGTGAAAACATTAACAGGAAAGACAATCACAGTGGAGGTCGAATCTTCCGACACAATCGAAAATGTGAAGGCTAAAATTCACGATAAAGAAGGTAGGATAGTTGAACTGATATTCTTCTAATCTTACGTATTCGAGAAAAATAGGTATCCCTCCAGATCAACAACGATTGATTTTTGCTGGCAAACAGCTTGAAGACGGACGAACACTGTCGGATTACAATATTCAAAAAGAATCAACTTTGCATTTAGTTCTTCGTAAGTGTTCATTTTGGATGTTGAAAAAATTCTTATTTTGTTCCTTAAAAGGTCTTCGTGGTGGTTGCAACACATTTTCTTGTGGTGATATCATCGTTTGTGCACCGAAACAACATACTGGTCAATGTCCAGGTACAACTTATCATAACACTCCCTGTTGGAAATGTACTGCCTACGGTCACAAATGAGGACAAGATTTTTTTTGTTTTGAGAAATTGTAATCATCCAGAATTCAAATAAATATTGAATAAAATAAGAACATTCGAGGTGATTGCGCTTCGACGTATTCCTCCCCTGCTTTTATGATGAATGAATGACTCAATTTACACGGCAAACTTCTTATCAGTACTTACGCAACATATTTTACTTTATGCGACATATAAAACGTGTTGTTGGAAAGCAGTTTAAATAGTAGTATGTCTACGACTGATTGTAATCTTCCACTTCCTATAAAAACTTTTCTCGAACCAAACGAGATATGGACTCTTCCTCAGCATCGTTTAAAAGCACGTCGAACAAATTTGATTCCGACGATTTGCTTCTACAATGGTTCATTCGCACCAATCCATGCTGGTCATGTCAATGTATTACAGTCAGCGAAACAATATATTGATAGTTTAGGAACACATGAATTGCTCGCTGCGTACATGTCTCCGTCACATTCCGAATATCTTGCAGCAAAATTAAATTCAACTGAATTTCTGAGTATCGGGCATCGCCTAGCTATGATTCATCTAGCAGTGGAAAATCTCGATTGGGTGATGGTAGATCTGTATGAAACTTTTCAGACACGCGCAACTCGTTTAGGTATTATCATGGATGGGTTTATGAAACGTGTTCGTTCACAATTGCCTGATGGAAATGAAATTGATGTATTTTGGTTAAAAGGTGAAGATGCTCTGCGTTTTCCTCCTATGGAAATAGCAACTCGGTTAGGATTTCAACATCTGTACGTTTTGAATCGTAATTCGAACGAGAAAACGGCCGGCTCTAATCAAGATAAACGAGAAAACCAATGGCAAAAAAAGTGGACATGCTCATCGTTTCCCGAACGGTTGGTTCATCAATTCGATCACCAGGATTCTAGTCATATTCTTTTCCTAGATTTCATTTATTTAAAGCAACTGACCTGAACCTCTCGTCGACTGCAATTCGAAGATGTGCTAGCGAAGCTTCGGTAACACATGAACAACTTCAACTATGTACTCATCTAGATAATATTACATCGTATATCTTACGGCATCATTTGTGGTGCAGCCGAAAGGATGCAATGCCTTTGGATGTATCGTCTGCGCCTGTATTTTCGTACAAAATCGAAGATCTTACACCCGAATCTCTCTCTGAAATGGTTTCGAAATCATCAAACGTACCCGTCGAAATAGTTTCCTACGAATCAGAGAGGATTGGCGAAGGAAAAGGCTGGGGTGGGCCTATTTATCGTCTTTTTAATATTCAATACTCGTCAGTTCTCGACAATAGCTTACCATCATCGATGATACTGAAATTATCGACTGGTATCTGGAATGGACATGTTGCCTCATCGGAACCAGAATTCTACTTGAATTTAGCACCTCGTATCTCTCATATTCAAGTTCCACGATTCTACTATGCCGCGCGAAGTGCTGACAATCCAAATGCAAGTCTTCTTTTACTCGAAGATCTCTCGATGACTCACAAGGCAATAGTTCAACGGCTACGATTCGATGATAGAACTCTATGTCTTCTTGTAGCGACAATTGCTACTCTCCATGCCGAATTCTTCGAACATCCAATACTATTGACCGATGCGTTCGCATGGCTGCCGTCATTAAATTCGGTAGTGAACTACTACCAACCGAAATACACGCAGCGAATCAATAGTAAACCGTATCAACGTTTACTAGAAAGAAAGCTCTCGTCCAAAGCAGTAGCATACGCCAATGGACTTTCGACATATATACCATATCTTTTCCAAGCACTCAGTAGCGAACGGTTTAGTCTTGCTCACGGAGATTTCTGGAAAAATAACGTACTACTGCAAGATGATCATCCACATCGTTTAGTACTGCTCGATTGGCAAACATGTTGTCGGGCGAACGGCTTATTAGATGTTGCATACTTCCTCCGACTGCTTGGTAGTGAACAAGCTCGTTCACTTGAACCGCAGTTGCTTGAAATTTATCATCAGACTCTGATAAAATATGGAATTTCACGATACAGTCTAGCGGACATTCGTAAAGATTATTATTCACTTGCCCTTCCGTACATGTTTGTATTTTTCGTCTGTTGGGATGCTAACAGGCGAGATAAGATGAGTCAAACAGCGTTTATTTTGGAAGATATTATTAACTACAGCGGAAAACCATAAACGCATGGCATGTAATTGTGAAGTGGTTATGTAAATATTAGATAAACAAACGTATCAAATTAGTTTCATTTGTCTACATGCTTGTTTTGTGAGGTATTTTGATCGTTTGTAAAATTCCAACAGTTCTCTCTTGATCTCTTCATGATAATAAACTATAAAAGCAACAAATAGTTGAAGCGCCACAACGAGAATAAAATGAGCAATGCGCGATCGATGCAAAAGAGTTCTTCCATCCGGAAAGTCCATCGTAACCAACGTCACTTGTTCTGTTCGATAATAACAAGGGTACTTTTGTTTAATCTGAACACAAAAAAAGCATATCATTGTACGAAAGATTAAAAAGTATCATTCGTCGCATACTTGATATTTTTCTGTACGATTTTCTCTACTACTGGAAATCATCGTGGTATTTGTAATATTACTTGCATTCAAGATCGAATACGACAACATAAAGTGTTCATCATAACATATATTCTCTCTACACATAGATTCATTTGAGCATTTCCGGCACGGACGAGCATAGGTTGTGTAATTGAGCAGCAGACAAGTCGTGTTTGTATGGGATTTTATATAGTCACGATACTCGTCATAACGAACAGCAGCGCTGATATCCCATATAAACAACGGTAGTATCAAAAACAAACCAACGAAAAGTGCAAGGCACGTTATAGTATTACCCGCCATCAAATGTTTCTTTTGTACAATGTTATATGTATATAAATACATATGATTACAGTCGTACTTCCTTTTTTTTTACGAAACACACGATTACTCATCTCTATAAGCCGTGTATTTCTACGCTTTCTCTCCATGTTTTAGGTAAAATTGGATTTTTCCAATTATGTTAAGTACCTTCATTATTTGAAAGAATATTGCACAAGATATAAATGAAATTATCGATCGTTTAACTACGCTTCATCGCTCACCTTGACTTTTTTAACTACCGGCATATGTGTGACATCGTTGATATTTTTCTCAATCATTCGATAAAAATATTCACATCGTCGATCAACCTCCTTCTCATATCGTTTAACAACAAATGAGTATTCCAACTGGTATGAGCCCCCAAACTGCTATGCACTATCGCAACATTGATGTACAATTACGCAATGTTTTCAATCAAAGTTACGAACAACAACTACGCGCGGCTTATGGTCAAATGCACCAATTGCATGTCGGACATGGCGCGGCGTTTGCAGCCAATAGTTCACATAAATATGTCAATAACTCTGCTAGAGGTGCACAACGAAATTCACATCGTCACCATTAGTTTACTCGTGATCATTCAACATATTTTTTATTAAATAATTGCCTGTGTCCATCTGATTGAATGGTGACTAGAAAAACTGTTGATATTCCATTGGGTTGCGTCAGTAAACGAAATCATACTTTAAGTTATGGATATCCTATCACAAAGTTGCATCTAATAAAGTGAGAGAGAAAAAATTGATATTTACAATTATTTTTGATTTTTTTCATCGATGCAGTCTCTTTTCGTAACAGGTAAGTTATTTAAAATGAATGATTTAACTGATGTAAATCATCTGGTCGAGTCATGCGGTAATTAATTTGAAATAATAACCATAAAAAAACAATTTCGCTGCACAAGCAGAAGTCTTTTATCGCGTTTTTGTAAGAAGACGCAGAAGTTCTTTACGAAACCTCTTCGATACTAAGAGATTCGTATAACAACCGATACTATTTTCAATGAAAAACACAAAATATGCGAATTGCAAGATTGCTTGTTCTATTGTGTGCTGCTCTTCACTTTTCTCTGCATATTGTGTAATCTGTGCATACATATACAAGATCACCACTGGCAACTTACAAATAATGTATATAATAATATCAACGAGTAACATCCGAATGAGTTGTTGATCTTGAGATCGAAGATTATGCAGCCTACCAATCGTAGCAACACCAGTCGGTACCATAGATAATCGTTGCTTTATACTACGCGCTTGACGAATGTTCATCACTGTCCAACATCCGAATATGGCGAAGAATACTGGCGGTACAATTCCGTTGGTTAGAAGTGAATAATAACTAATGAATACAGTGTATGCGCCTGGTTGGTGATAACACATGAAATAATTAGGCTTGTATTCTAGAATTTGTGTAAAGATCCATACATGAATATGAAATATAGCCCAAAATGAACATATACTGATTATGCTCGTAATCATTAAGCGAGGTGTACTACGTTTTCGCCATGATGCATGAGATGATGTGATCAACGTACGATCGATCGAAGCTAAAACAAGGCAAGACGATTGACAACATGACAAAAGTGTAGCCATGTAAAACCGAAATCGACAAAAGATTATACTGGTCGAACTAGGGTTAATATTGTAACCAATGTCTAACACCGTCGAAAGTAAACCAAAATAGAGGAATAAGAGATTGATAATATTGACAGTTGTGAGACATATTGTGCACGAATTTTTCCCTAAACTACTTTTTGTGAATACAAGTATGTTCAATATACAGCTAACACTGCCAATGCCTATTAGTAGAGGACCTCCGAAGTGGGATAGATTATATTCAAAAGAATACCACTGTGAAGCAGAAGGCATGCTAATAGTAATAGAAAAGTTTACAATTTAGAATAGAATGTCATTTATATACTTCCCGAGATCTACTTCATAGAAGAGGAAATATGACAAAAGAGATGGTAATGAACATTCGCCTTTAATAGGCTGAGACGTGTCAGGAAAAGAAAAGTCTTATCATGCGATTGTACGAAATGGCCTAGAGAAAATTTAAAGTTTAAGATCGATAGAGAATTCGTATTTCGAACAGTCCGATGTATTTTGAATTGGCCTAATTTATTGATAATTAAAAAGAGAAACCGTCGTATAATGAGAATTTAAATCGATTTTCAGCATTTTAGGTGTCAACGATAAATTTTACTGTTTCACGAACAGACTTTGGTGTGGCCGATGGTGTCCATACGCCAGGTTTTTGTCGACCCGGCACATTTAGTGCGATAATATACTCGCGTAACCATACGAAATAACCACTAAGATCATCTTGTGTAACTTCTTCACGTTTTACAGCTATTGGTTTCCAATTGTCAAATCCTTCTTGGGATATGAGTAGGTGACCCACACCGAAATCATTGTTCTCTTCTGCTATAGAGCTCGTAGTTAGCATGCTAGATTTTATGTCCACTGGTCGCTGGTCATATGTGTGGTCGTAAAGTCGTACATGAACTTTCTCATCGTTCATGACAAGTATTTTGACCACACTGAATTTTCCATCACCGTTCTCGACTGTGCATATATCTCCGTCTTGCAACATTGCCAATCAGTGACTATACGAGTAGCTTTTCGTTGTTATTTATACGTTTGGATATGACGTTACTGTAGTGCAATTACCCGTATCAATATGCAATCCTTTTCGTTTTCTCGTCATAAACTGTGTCATATGTCACCTAGAAAGGAAGTGTGAAAATAAGAAGCAATCGTTTTATTTTTCCTCTTCCCACACAATACAACAAGGTATTACACAGCTATTCTCATTAGCATTCGAATTTTCAGCTTCACGAACAACGAATCCACCGAATTTTTCTCGAATAATCCAACTACTAATAACAGGTTGATGTCCATCATAGTTGTCCAACGCGAAACGTTCTTGATAAATGCCATCACCATCAGAACCATACATTGGCTTGTTAACAAATAATATTTCTTTGGCGTCATCCGTTAAATTCCATTCGGCACGTAGTAAATGTGAATGATTGGGATACATCTCCCACAGTACAGATAAGAGTGCTCTATTCTTGGTAATAATCTTCCAAAAAGGTTCAATAATTTTAATTTGTTCATGTAATAGAATATCACTTATTCGTGGATGTTCATCGTTCTGATGCTCAGCTGACTGCTCATCGCGAAGAACAGTGTCCCAGGCCCATAATTTCCAAACTACTTGAATTAGTTCACCATCTTTATCAACAATACGATCGTCTTTCCAGAATAGTTGATCAGTACCAATGAAAAGCTTCGACGAAATATTGGCTTCTTTTAGAACGCTTTGCATATAGAGAGCAGTAAGCATTTCTTCTTGATTGTCGTTGATTAATAAATGTATCGGAGTCGTAATATCCATTATTTTCCAATTGTTAACTAAGATCTGATGGAGACGTCGACCTGAAGTAAAACTCGATGGTAATTCACCTATTTCTGCCCATTTCTTTTGTATAATAGCACTTTCAAAAAGAGCCGTTGCATTATCAGCATGATATTCTAAAACTTTGGTTTGTTCTCCATTGAATACTAAATCTAATCGACCCGTCATCGTCAGATGTTGTTCATCATTCCAGGAACGGCGAAGACGATTCCAAAGCCGCTTTGGTATTCCAAAACGTGTTAATAACGCATCATCGCCAATGACACGTTTGGTTGCCTCGAGAAACATTTGATGTAATTCATTCGATGCTTCAGCAGTCGCCAGAAGAAAATCAGCATTAATTTTATAATACATTAAATGGTTCGAAGAAATATTTACACGTTGGAAATTATCGAGAAAATGTTCGATAAAAAATTCCTCTGCCGGATTGTCTTTGTTTAACCAACCATCTCTTGTCACATCACTCTTCTCGAGAATGGTACATCGTTGAATTTTACCTATCGGGAGACGTTCTTGATATCGAGGATGAATCATATTGATAACAGATTCATCCAACGGTTTTAGTTCGTTGTTTTCATCTTCAATTTCCATCCATCCATGCATAGGGTCTTCATCTTCAAGATAATACAGACCGTCTTTTTCCACCATACGAATTTCGCGGGCGTATTCATCGTTCCAATAGTGAAACTTAACATTCTGTTCAGCAATACGAATGTAATCTGGTCCTACATCACATATAACAGCAATATGACCGACAGGTTGCTCTTCACTAATTGAATAAATAAGAAACGAATCGACCTGCGGTTTTGCCGGAGAACCATTTGCATGAGGTATTAAACGAAATTGTTTTTCGTCAGTAACACGCTCGACGTATTTCAGTTGAGTCCAAATATCCGCAGCAAACCGAACACTCTTGAAAACGCAACTTTTTCTCAGTAATAACCATCGCCGTGCGTATTCAACACATTGCCATTTAACTCCAAGAAACACGCCATGCATATAATGACGTTCGATATGAAACACCCCGTCGTCCGTATTCGAAAAAGCTGGCACATTTGTAAAAGCTGTGCCCAAGACGTGATTGAAAGGTGCTCGGACAAGTTCACTGTCGTCCATTCTATGTAAGCAATTTCGACACTACGTCGTAGAGCTTATATCTCATGAAGAAGAAGAAGAAGAAAAGTGCTTTGTCAGCATGGTCGTGCGTAATTCTATCACATGGTTTTCTTTTTTTTCTTTTGCGTTCTGTACGTACCATACCGAGTAATTTCTTATCAGAATTTTTTCTTTCTCTTCTCCTGTTGATCGTTGCGACTATCATACAACATTCGTTTACATAATATACAGTCCAAGGAGTGCAACAAAAGAACACGATAACATAAAACATTGTCCTATGAGCGCCATAGGTTTCTGATTGAATGATCGAACTGTGTTCTATATGTGTTTGATGGTAAAACAAAAATAACAAAGTTTAACATTGATGGAATGAATGAAATGTAATAACCAATGAGGTATAGCCAAGGTTCGCGAGCAGATTTCATACATTTCGATACGAAAGAAATAATCAAACGAGGAACAGCTAATAGAATCAGAACTATGGGCGAAATAAGTAGATGCTTGTGTTGTTGGAACTGTTCGTGTAAAACTGTTTTACGGGGCTTTTTTCTCTGAATATTTGAACGATTTCGAGCGGAAATAATGATGATCATCAATGCCGATATGAAATTGATCAGAAATGGAAAAGCAAAATGAATAATATTGATAATCCAATCGTATATTTGTAAAGGTCGAGAGTACTGGCACAAACACAATGATCGCTGATCCTCTTCATCATCAATTGTATGTCGATGCCATGGATCATGCATGTGTGTTAACACTGTCAATAGGAAAACCAATGAAATCGCCCGTTTTGCAACTTGTCTACTTCGATTTTTATTGAAATGAACGCCTTTATAGATATTCAATGATCGTTCGATTGCAACGCAGCCAATTAGCCAATCATTGCTACTGACCAACACTCGAAGGAGAAAATCAGTTACTAAACATTGCATATATTCAAATCGACGGTTGCCGATTAATTTCATCTGTAATATGAGAAGGTGTACATATTTCATCGCCAATACAATTGTTAATACCATCGAAACGATGGACGATGAGAACAAATAGAGACCACAGCCAACGTCGTGACACGGTTTCGTTCTAAAAGTCAACAACGAGAATAAACTGTTAACTAAACCGAAGCAGAACAGGATGCATGTGATTCCCATTGAAAGCTTGACTGCTGCTGATTGTTGGCTCATTCTCACTGACGGTTGAATATGATATCCTAAGATTGTGTCTAACGACAAACTTGTCCCTCTTGTTGAAAACTGACAGCGTGATCCGTAATAGCAATCCGGACAAACGCAAATCGGTGTTGTTGGACACGATGAATTATCGTAATAACATAGACCTTCGTTTTCGCAGAGGTTACCGATATGACAATTGTATGCCATATGATGATTGAATTCGAAGCAATTCGCATTCCGATTGACGTCACACAAACAGATATGAACTGAATCATAGAAACAAATAAGATCACGTTGGTTTTGACAGGGTCTGTGATAGAATTTGATACGTTTTAGTAAATGTTGATTAATAAAGGTTTGGTTGAATAGTTCAGTAAGAGATTTACATCGGTGAGACTGACGAATTTTGGCTGATAGAATAGTTGAGAAGAATGCTCGATCTCGAAGGAGAATCAGATAGTAATTTTGATCAAATTCCGCTAGTGCAATGTTGAAGGTAATCGAAGTATAGAACGAAATTAATTCTTGATTAATACCGATCTTTCTCATCAGACTTGTTCGAATGTGTTTGGCCTGATTTTGAACGGTAATCAAATGAATAATGAGTGAAAAGGGAAGTTGTAAATGATCATCGAATGACACATCAATTTGAGTTTGCCGGTGTTCACAATGATCTCCAAAATATTCTTTCAGACACAAGCATGTTGATCGATGTTTTGATAAGCTATAACGTGAATCATCGAGTACGCATTGGCCATTGTTCGAACATGAATTGCACGGTGATCGACGAAGGTAACATCGAGCACCATATCTGTCAAGAGGACATACACAAATCGAGCCGTTGATACAGAGTGAAGGTTTTGCACAAGAACATTTCTGTTCGATACTACAGTGAGATCCGGACCAGCCAAAATCGCATAGACAAAATGTGGAGTTCGGTTGGTTGATGTAATAAAAGCAACGGCCATGAACAACTGTGTGGCGCGGGTTGCTATTAAAAATCGGAATTGTTAGTAAGACAGATAGACGATATACAGGTAGAAAGGAAAATTTCACTGGAAAAAGCCAACTCGATCGATGTGTTAATGTTAATTTATTGAAAACATCGATTTGCACTGAATAATTTCTCAGCAGGTCCTTTGGTCGGGACGAATATAGTAGATAACTATTATATTTCGTCTGGCAATCACGTATAGGTAAATATTCTATAAAATCATACGACTCCAGCTTTTGTTCATCATCAATCAAACGCATCACTAAGACAAATGTAGTTCGCCAATCAGATACAGCTTGGATTTGAATTGTTAAACTAACACGTTGATTTTGATACTGACAACGATCTCCATAGTAAGCAGGTGGACATAGGCAGTGCAATTCCGATTGATTACTACTCATTCGTTTGTAAACGGACAGTCCTCGATTACATTGCCAACCATCAAATGAATCGCTTTGTAGTTTTCTAGGTTCTCTATCTGCTGTTAATTCCAGTAAGTAATTGGGTCGATTCTGTAGTTTGAAATAGACAATTCTCGGTAGCACGGGACCGTCAAGGGAGTGACAAAGAAAGTTTTCGACATCAGTACGATTTATCACATTTGAAGAACATAGTGGATTTCTACGAGATCCATAGTTTCGACAGAATTTTTCATCATCACCTTGCGAACAAGTTGCATTTCTATCGCACAGACCGTTGTAATGAATGCATTTCGAATCGATTGAACAATGAAAATAATACATAACAAGCAGAGGAGTTTTTCTGAGACAAATATTCCGTTCATCAGATGCACCAAGACAGTCAATAGTACCATCGTTGATTTTACTGGCTGATATACATGTTAATTTCGATGTATCATTGAATAGAACACAGTCATACTGATTTTCGGGACAAAGCGATGATGGACAATTGATCTCGTCGGTCCCATTTTTACACAACCAAAACCGATCACATCTTGTGTACGTATTGTTGCACGGCCAATCTTCACAATGAGTTTCATCCGTTTCATACCGTCCGTCGATCAACAAAGGCGAGAGTTCTGTTTTCCCATCGCAAATTGTTTGAAAAGAAATATGACTTTCGATGGTTCCATCATTTTCATTGCGTTCATCTTCAGCGCGTTCACAATCTCGTTTTCCATCACCGATGATTAACGGCGCTAAACATTTCCTTTTACCATCACGAAAGCATTCAAAGCGGTATAGACTATCATCAAATGAACAGTCTTGATTGAATGTTTCATCATCATCGAACGGACAATCGTTTATACCATCCACAAGACGATATTTGGAGATACATTTTGTTGAATTGAAACATCGATACATTACTGAATGATGACAGTTCGTTTCAGAGATTGATGTGACCAAGCAAGGACGAAATCGCTCTTTGATATCTCTTACCAAGTCCTCAGGATCGCTATACGATGTTTCATCAAACCCTAGTTGATGAAAGTAACGACAAGTCGAACCATTGAACTGCACTGTAAATGGAAGAAAATCTCTACAAAGATTTTCGTTATAACATACATAGTTCGGTAGGAGAACTTCAGATGACTCAATTTCTCTTTCGGCATTTTGGAACATCAAACGTACATGACCAAACAAGATTGGACCCAAAGGAAATTCATACACATCGGGACAATGCTTCAACGTACAGTTCGTATCCGTACAAAATCCATCGCACCAAGGAACATCCATGTGCATTAGGCAAGCCATAGCATACGAACAGAGATTGTTTAATAAAGGATTGTGACGACCGTTTTGACACCCAGCTCCAAATCGTGTGTCCATTTCCGCGGTACATTGACCGTCGCCACACGGATATTCGGTTTTTCCTGGTCGACACGTATGTTCTTCGCATCGAAACGAAGGATCTCTTGAGCAAAAATCAGGATAATCATCGTTCCGTATCGATTCATCGGTTCGATCTAAACAATCAGGATTCAGCTGAATATCGTGAAAAAATTCCTTCGGAATGCATTGACCATTATGACATCGGTATTCGTTAGCACTACACTCATTTATTTCAAGTTGCCAACAATGCAACTCATCTGATCCGTCGAGACAATCCATTTTTCGATCACAAATCTCACGCCAATCTAAGCATAACAATGATGTCCATGTACATTTCAAATGCTCATAGCAAGTTATTATAGAACCGTTGGTTATCATTGGCTTATTATAAAAATGCAATAAAACCACTTCATCCAACGATCTATCGTTCTCAAGATCGAATGCAAAACTGCATCGAGGTCCAAACCATGGCGACGAGCAATTGTAGAATAGTATGTCATTTTCAAATGATGATGATTCGTCCATGTTATTCAAATAGATTTCATATCTTTCGGCTAAACCAATAGTAGCTGATTCGCTCGTAATTTAGCAAACTTTAAACCATTATGAATCGTATTATCAATACTGATATCTTCATCCAGAATACTTTCGTTCAATAATCGGATACAATATGGAATTCTCTGATGTGTCAGTATAAACGGTTCTTCGTAATCCACGATATCCTTACGAACGTAATACAGAAGACAATACTTATCGAGACCATGTGCAGTATCATACATATTAACTTGATGTTGTAGCATTCCCTGCAGTTTGAACATGATTAAAACGAATGAAAGAAACATTTTTTTTTATAGATTTTTTTCAACTAACTCGCAGCTTTGTAGAAATAAAACTAAACCATACTCATATTTATATAATGTCTGTCATGTGTGTGACTTTCTGTCGCAAATAGAAATTCTAGAACGGACACGTTTTGAAAACTTAGAAATATCTCAAATCACGTACAATTGTATACTATAAAATATGTGATACAGCTATCATACAAATCAATGTGTGTTGGCAAGCTGGTCTGTGTTTAATTGATTATCCATTTTCCTTAGTGGTATGAGAGAGAGTGTGCGTGTGTGTGTGTATCAGCAAACAGAGAGCGTAATCGTTTTTTTCTCCGCCAGTCTTGCACCACAGGCAACATGATCTATGACGCTCCACGCATTATCTTATCTCTTGATAAAGAAGCAGAGCATTCATAATGCATGTTCTATTTCTTCGTAATGCGACGATGCTCTTCAGAAAGATAAATAATTAAAAGAGCACTTGTTTTCAACCCGAGCACACACGTGTTGAATCTTGATTTTACAATTCATGTATACTAACTAAGATTTTGTGGAATACCAGCACGCACTTGATCGAAATATTATCCGCTGGGAATATTCACAAAATCTATTTATCTCTAGATTATACTGGGAAAGTACTTTTTCCCGTTCCATTACATTCATCCTTTTTACAATGCACAATTTTTCCAGTTACCCGTTCTTATCTATTCTTCTCTTATCTTTCATTGCATTCATATGTGTGCGGGCGCAAACGTATTCATAACATATAGTCTTTCAAGTAAACAAGTATTATATATATGCGTATATATATGACTTGCTTCAAAAATACTTACTACCGATGAATCAAACCATAGAAAATATCAGTCTAATACCGGTTGATGCAACAAAATATGAAGATCACGAAGAAGTTTTATCAATTAATAAAAATTCCTATCGGCGAATCTTTCATTCAAAAATGCATCTCAAACAATTTATTCTCTGGATTGTTATGTTTATCTGCTTGATGATCATATCTGGTCCGCTTGCACTTTACGTGTCCTATGCAGTACCAACAGTTAAATTACGATCTGTTTCTCATGACCAATTCAGTGAACAACGTGCTCTTGATTATTTGAATAATTTAACACAATTTGGATCGCGAGTGCGCAATACACGTGGAAATTTCCAAGCACGGGATTATCTCATCTCTGAACTTCGCCGTATCGATTCAAGAAACAAACGACATCTTTGGTTTCAAATTGAACTTCAAAACTTTACCGATGCCAAAGAAAATCTCCTACAAAACGTTCTTGTTCGTGTATCAAATGCCAGTAAAATGAAGAAACACATGCCGAGTCTTATGTTAAGCGCTCATTATGATTCTGTTGAGTTCAGCCCTGGAGGTTGTGATGATGGCACTGGTGTTGTCACTATACTCGAATTATTATCCAATCTAGTTCACGATAGCACAACCACCTTTTCCACCATGGATCTGATTGTTTTGTTTACCAATGCGGAAGAATCTGGTCTAGTAGGTGCGAAAGCGTTTGCCAATCACCATCGTTGGCAATCCGATATTCGTTTTTTTATCAATGTTGATTCGATGAGCTGTAATGAAGTAGCTTTTTTAATGGAAATGACCCAATCTCAGGTTTTGCTCTCATGTTCACTTGTCAACAAATTTTCTTTCTTCCCTTTTGTATTCTATAGCTTGCGATCGATTACAGTCGAGTGGCAAGACCACGTGCTAATGTTATTAACGAGTTAATATCTATGTTGCCTCTATGGGGTACGGACTTCGACGCGTTGCATTCGAATCACACTCGATCAGGATTCGATATAGGCTTTCCTCTTGATGGCTACACCTACCATACTCCATTTGATCAGCCAATAAGAATTAAACAAGGTATTATCCAAGATTTAGGAAACAATCTCGGTATCTTGATCCGAAATCTATTTCAAAAAGAAAATGTTTCCCTATCAGGAAATATGATCGACACGGATCCATTGATTTACTTTGATGTACTTAGCCGATATTTGATTATATATAAACAATCGACATCGATATTAATTCAGAAGATATTAATTATCCTGACAATCACTGTCAGTATACTTCTAATTGTATGTGACCACATGCGGCATCGAAAAGAAAGAACTCAATTATGCAATGATCGTCAATGCATCTATTTCTATTTTAAACATCCACTTTGTGTTCGTATTGTGTCCATCATTATGTATTTCATCACGAATATCATTTCGATCATTACTGGTTTCATAATCTCAATAGTTTTCTCATGGATTATGTCAGTGATTCAATCCATTGGCTGGCACGGTAATGCAGCACTGGCGATGATTCTTTTCAGCTTACCGTATATCATGGGATTTTTTCTCGGTGGATGGCTAGGCGATCGGTGTCTTCGGTCTCTCCTTCGAAAAGTGCCGAGAAATTTCTCCGAAATAAACGTCAAACATGTAACAAATATTCACTTCAATTTCGAACAGAACTTATCCATTTTGCTGATCTATTGTGTATTGATGATCATCTCCGTTTCGTTCAGTTACCGAGCACTCTACTTCATTCTTATTTGGACGATTTTCATCTGTCCGATTTATCTTTGCGTAATGATCATTGAATGCATTTTCCATTGGAAACCAACACAATCGACATTATTCAAGCACAAATCCTATTGGTTATATTTACCACTGATCGTTTCATTTTTCCCCTTGATACATACAATCGGAACAAGCAACTATCTCATACGTCTTCTCAGTCCTACTATAACGAAATTTTTCACCTATAAATTTTTATTCAAAGTCAATCTAGCCATGAGCGGATTTGCTCTGGTTCCAGCATTATTTACTACATTAAATCTTGCTTCAATAACACAACGAATTAGACGATCCAGTTGGATATTACTCATTCTTTTCACAAGTTTTCTGCTTACTTGTCTCATAACTATCAGTCGTCAACCATTCGACAAAGATCATCCACATGTTCTGTATGTGAATCATACATCAACGTCGATTTATCGCGTTGCAAATCTAACCAACGTGCCGATGATTGTTCCACTCCAATCGCAATCAGCATTAATCACAATTCTAGCTTTTTATGGCCGAGCTCTATCGCCTGTCTTAGATCGATTCTCGACTGAAAATAATTACGAACTACAGAATAAGACCTGTCGCTATCCAATCTACTGTACATTCAACGATTCATTTAATCGTACAATGTCCATAAAACAGATCCAGATAGCATCAGTCGACAAAAGCCTGATGGCTTACAACATTATTATTCAACACGTTTTATCATACAATATTCATATTTCGTCAACATCAGATGCGCAACTGACTATTTGGAATCGATTTCATCTTCCGAGAACCGAAACAATTATTGATGTTACACTAAATTCGTCTCAAACGCGATTAGTTCAACTCGATATCAACATTCGACGATGTGACATATCCGATTCGCCTTTCTTGGTATCTCTCACTCAATTCACATCCGATAGAGTTGTGAAGGGTGGTGGTAATTGTTCTGCAATCAATGATCACGCAACACTGATCATCGATGGAACATAGAAAACTTTGTTTTATTATAATCCCGATCAAATAAAATACTGAATGTAATAAGCTTTCGAATGTTCACGAAAAAAAAGTAAACTAACTCATGACTCCGACTCTCATGCGATGAAATCTTATAAAAACTCGTCGAATGACTGAATAGAATTCTTCTTTGTAACCATCTGCCGACATGATGAAGACGGTAAGTGTCATCATCGATGGGACGAATGAAACGAGATAGCCGATGAGAAATAATGATGGATTTTGTGATGATTTCATACATCGACTGACAAACGAGATAATCAAACGCGGTAAAGCTAATAGCAACAATGCACAGGATGCAATCAAATTGTGTTTGTGGTGGCGAAATTGCTCACGTAGATTCGTTCGCAATGTTGTTCGCGGTTGTGTCGTTGCACGCGAATGCGCCATGAGAACGATGATATATGTAGTCGAGAAGAAATTCATCGCGAAAGGAATAAGAAAATGAAAAAATGTAACGATTGTGTTATAAGTATCAACTGTTGGTGAATATTGAACAATGCACCATGTTCGCCGTTCGTCAATATCGACATCATCGATTAATTGACGGTAGAATGGATCATGGATATTGGTTAGAACTGTTAAAACGTATATTCCAAAAATAATACGTTTTGCTAATTTTTTGCTCTGGCTCTGATTGAAATTCGCGCCTTTATATGTAACGAATACTTGTTCAATCGATATACATCCGCCGAACCAATCATTGGTAGCAATGAGAATATTAAGAATGAAATCCAACGACACACAGCTAAACTTCAGGTACGAACGATTGTTCAACACTGATATTTGAGATAAAAACAAATGCCAACATTTAATAACTAACATAATAATCAAACATATCGAGTTCCATGATGATATCAATAAGTATAAGCCGCAACCAATACTTTTTATTTCTTGGATCTCATAGGCCATAATCGATAGGAGCCCATTGATCAATCCAAGACACAACATGAGTGATGTGATTACAATAGTCATTTTAATAATAAATGATTGTTGATGAATTGATCGATGTGGAACAATATGATACCCGAGAATGTAATCAAGCGATGAAACGAAGCCTCTGGTTGAAAATTGACACTTTGTACCGTAGTAACACTGCTGACAAATGCATATCGATCGTGTAGGACATGTTGGATTATCTTGTAAACAAAAGGCATTGTTTTCGCAGATATTCTTGCCTTGGCAATCGTAGGAGATCGACGAGATATTAAATGCGAAGCAATTCGAAAAACGATATCGATCACAAATGCACATTTGATATTCATCATGAAAACACTTCAGTTGAGAGTTTTGTTGGCATAGCAGAGGATAATATTTCGTCCGACGAAGAAATGGATACTGAAGCAATGTTTTGTTCATGATCTGATTAATATGATAACATTGTTGATCGGAGAGAATACTTGCTTGGATATGTTCGGATTCGAAGAATGTCTCACGTACCACAGCTAAATAGAATTTATGGTCGACTAGTTCAATAAAAATCAAATGAAATGGAAATGTCATATAAAGTGTTAGAAGATTTTGTTGTATGTGAACTTTTTTCAATACTGTGGTATATTGACGATTATCGTTTTCCGATGCGCGAATGAAATGTGCAAATATGAATGGCCTCATATTGATTTTGTTCGGATCGAAGTAGATGTCAATACGGTTTTGATTGTACTGACATGTTTTGCCGTAGAAACCATCAGGGCATAAGCAAAAGAACTTGTGTAAACCCATGCGATCGTCGACGGGAACGCAAAGGCCATTGTTTTCACAAGGATTATTGGTTTGTTGACAAATCGAATGATTTAAATAACATTTTGAACCGAATTTATTCAATGGGCAAACACAAATCGAAGATGAGAGACATAGAGACTTGGATGAACATGAACAATTGTGTTGAATGTGACACTGTGCACCAGAGTATCCTTGTTGACATTGGCAAAAGTACGAGTTCTTCTTATTTAAGTATTCGACACATCGACCGTGATGACCGCAAGCTAATGGACATGATTTCGGTGGAATCATCGGTGTGCTTGGAATCGATATTTGAGTAGCAATACGATTAACAGGTAAAAACTGAAATGGAATTGACAAAGACCAACTTCCATAATATACCAAGGTTAGTTTATCAAATATATCAATATGGATTGAATAATTAGCCGAGCGATTCTTTGGTTTAGTAGGATAGAGTAGATAAATATTAAACTTTGTGTCACAATTTTCCTCAGGAATGTAAAGAATTTGTTCGTGATAGGATGTAACATATTTTTGTTGATCAATCAGCGTAATAACTAATTGAAATATTGAGCCCGCATTGGATGCATTGGTTTGATAGATAAATTGAAGCGTTAAGCTAATACGTTGATTTTGCCATTGGCACCGCTTACCGTAATACGATGGTGGACATAGACATGTTTTGGTGTGATTAGTGTTGTAGAGAACAAGAATTCCTCGATTGCAGTACCAGTTTTTGTCAGTTTTCGTTAATGTCTTGGCGTTGGTCGTTTTTTTCGCATTAGAGTTATTCAACTGAAGTGGCTCAGATGAAACGAATGGAAAAAAGCCTAGTTGTGACGATGTAAATTCGAATCGTGCTTGATCGTCTCGTATGGCTGATTGTAAGCTAAAATGGCAAAAACTGGTACTGCAATCGAGGAATTCTTGNGAAGATCTTACACCCGAATCTCTCTCTGAAATGGTTTCGAAATCATCAAACGTACCCATCAAAATAGTTTCCTACGAATCAGAGAGAATTGGCGAAGGAAAAGGCTGGGGTGGGCCTATTTATCGTCTTTTTAATATTCAATACTCGTCAGTTCTCGACAATAGCTTACCATCATCGATGATACTGAAATTATCGACTGGTATCTGGAATGGACATGTTGCTTCATTGGAACCAGAATTCTACTTGAATTTAGCACCTCGCATCTCTCATATTCAAATCCCACGATTCTACTATGCAGCGCGAAGTGCTGACAATCCAAATGCAACTCTTCTTTTACTTGAAGATCTCTCGATGACTCACAAGGCAATAGGTGAACGGCTACAATTCGATGATAGAACTCTATGTGTTCTTGTAGCGACAATTGCTACTGTCCATGCCGAATTCTTCGAACATCCATTACTATTGACCGATGCGTTCGCATGGCTGCCGCCATTAAATACGTTAGTGAGCTACTACCAACCGAAATACACGCAACGAATCAATAGCGAACCGTATCAACGTTTACTAGAAAGAAATCTCTCGTCCAAAGCAGTAGCATACGCCAATGGACTTTCGACATATATACCACATCTTTTCCAAGCACTCAGTAGTGAACGATTTAGTCTTGCTCACGGAGACTTCTGGAAAAACAATATACTAGTGCAAGATGATCATCCGCATCGTTTAGTACTGCTCGATTGGCAAACCTGCTGTCGGGCGAACGGTTTATTAGATGTTGCATACTTTCTCCGACTGCTTGGTAGTGAACGAGCTCGTTCACTTGAACGGCAGTTGCTTGAAATTTATCACCAGACTTTGATAAAGTACGGAATTTCACGATACAGTCTATCGGACATTCGTAAAGATTATTATTCACTTGCCCTTCCGTTCATGTTTGTATTTTTCGTCTGTTGGGATGCTAACAGACGAGATAAGATGAGCCAAACAACATTTATTTTAGAAGATATTATTAATTACAACAAAAAACCACAAACGCATGACACGTATTTGTGAATTGCATATATAAATATTAGATAAACAAACGTATCAAATTACTTTCATTTGTCTACATGCTTTTTGTGTGAGGTGTTTTGATCGTTTGTAAAATTCCAACAGTTCTCTCTTGATCTCTTCGTGATAATAAATTATAAAAGCAACAAATAGTTGAAGCGCTACGACGAAAACAAAATGAGCAATGTGTGATCGACGCGAAAGAGATCCTCCATCTGGAATGTTCATCCTAACCAATGTCACTTGTTCTATTCGATAATAACAAGGGTACTTTTGTTCAATCTGAATACAAAAAAAAGCATATCATTGTACAAAAGATTAAAAAGTATCATTTGTCGCATACTTGATATTTTTCTGTATGATTTTCTCTACTACTGGAAATCGTCATGGTACTTGTAATATTACTTGCATTCAAGATCGAATACGACAACGTAAAGTGTTCATCATAACATATATTCTCTCTACACAGAGATTCATTTGAGCATTTCTGGCACGGACGAGCATAGGCTGTGTAATTGAGCAGCAGACAAGTCGTGTTTGTATAGGATTTTAGATTGTCGCGATACTCATCATAACGAACAGCAGCGATGATATCCCATACAAATAACGGTAGTATCAAAAACAAACCAAGGGAAACTGCAAGGCACGCTATACTATTACCCACCATTAAACGTTTCTTTTGTACAATGTTATATGCATATAAATACATATGATTGCAGTCGTACTTCCTTTTTTTTACGAAACACACGATGACTCATCTCTATAAGCCGTGTATTTCTACGCCTTCTCTCCGTGCTATAGGTAAACCTGGATTTTTCCAATTATGATACATACCTTCATTATTTTAAAGAATATTGCACAAGATATAAATGAAATTATCAATCTTTTAACTACGCTTCATCGCTCACCTGGACTTTTTTTAAAACTACCGGCATATGTGTGACATCGTTGGTATTTTTCTCAATCATTCGACAAAAATATTCACATCGTCGATCAGCCTCCTTCTCATATCGTTTAACAACAAATGAATATTCCAACTGGTATGAGCCCCCAAACTGCTATGCACTATCGCAACATTGATGTACAATTACGCAATGTTTTCAATCAAAGTTATGAACAGCAACTACGCGCGGCTCATGGTCAAATGCACCAATTGCACGTCGGACATGGCGCGGCGTTTGCAGCCAATAATTCACATAAATATGTCAATAATTCTGGTAGAGGTGCACAACGAAATGCACATCGTCACCATTAGTTTACTCGTGATCATTCAACATATTTTTTATTAAATAATTGCCTGTATACATCTCGTTGAATGGTGACTAGAAAAACTGTTGATATTCCATTGGATTGCGTCAGTAAACGAAATCATAAGTTACTTTAACTTATGGATATCCTATCACAAAATTATATCTAATAAAGTGAGAGAAAAAAATCGATATTTACAATTATTTTTGATTTTTTTTTATCGATACAATCTCTTTTCGTAACAGGTAAGTTATGTAAAATGAATGATTTAACTGATGTAAATCATCTGATCGAGTCATACGGTAATTAAGTTGAAATAATAGCCATAAAAAACACCTTCGCTGCACAAGCAGAAGTCTTTTATCGCATTTTTTTAAGAAGACGCAGAAGTTCTTTACGAAATCTCTTCGATACTAAGAGATTCGTATAACAAGCGACACTATTTTCAATGAAAAATACAAAATATGCGAATTGCAAGAATGCTTGTTCTATTGTGTGCTGCTCTTGACTTTTCTCTGCATATTGTGTAATCTGTGCATACATATACATGATCACCACTGGCAACTTACAAATAATGTATATAATAATATCAACGAGTAACATCCGAATGATTTGTTGATCTTGAGATCGAAGATTATGCAGCCTAATAATCGTAGTAACACCAACCGGTACCATAGATAATCGTTGCTTTATACGACGTGCTTGACGAATGTTCATCACTGTCCAACATCCGAAGATGGCGAAGAATACTGGTGGTAGGATTCCATTGGCTAGAAGTGAATAATAACTAATGAATACAGTGTATGCGCCTGGTTGATGATAACACATGAAATAATTAGGTTTGTATTCTAGAATTTGTGTAAAGATCCATACATGAATATGAAATATAGCCCAGAATGAACATATACTGATTATGCTCGTAATCAGTAAACGAGATGTGCTACGTTTTCGCCATGATGCATGGGATGATGTGATCAACGTACGATCGATCGAAGCTAAAACAAGGCAAGACGATTGACAACATGGCAAAAGTGTAGCCATGTAAAACCGAAATCGACAAAAGATGATACTGGTCGAACTAGGGTTAATGTTGTAACCAATGTCCAATACTGTCGGAAGTAAGCCCAAATATAGAAATAAGAGATTGATAATATTGACAGTTGTGAGACATATTGTGCATGAATTTTTCCTTAAACTACTTTTTGTGAATACAAGTATGTTCAGTATACAGCTAATACTGCCAATGCCTATTAGTATAGGACCTCCGAAGTGGAATAGATTATACTCAAAAGAATACCACAGTGATGCAGAAGACATACTAATAGTAATAGAAAAGTTCACAATTAAGAATAGAACGTCATTTATATACTTCCCGAGATCTACTTCATAGAAGAGGAAATGTGACAAAAGAGATGGTAATGAACATTCGCCTTTAATAGGTTGCGACGTTTCAGGAAAATAAAAGTCTTATCATGCGATTGTGCGAAATGACCTAGAGAAACTTTTTGGTTTAAGATTGATAGAGAATTCGTATTTCGAACAGTCCGATGTATTCTGATGAATTGGTCTAATTTACTGATAATTAAAAAGAGAAACCGTATGTACAATGAGAATTTAAATCAATTTTCAGCATTTTGGGTGCAAGTGATAGATTTTACTGTTTCACGAACAGACTTTGGTGTGAACGATGGTTCCCATATGCCAGGTTGTCGTCGACCCGGCACATTCAGTGCGATAATATATTCGCGTAACCATACGAAATAACCGCTAAGATCATCTCGTGTAACTTCTTCATGCTTTACAGCTATTGGTTTCCAACTGTCAAATCCTTCTTGGGATAAGGGTAAATGACCCACACCAAAATCATCGCTCTTTTCTGCTATAGAGCTCACAGTTAACATGTCGGATGTTATGTCCGCTGGTCGTTGGTCATATGTGTGGGCGTAAAGTCGTACATGAACTTTCTCATCGTTCATGACAAGTATTTTGACCACACTGAATTTTCCATCACCGTTTTCGACTGTGCATATATCACCGTCTTGCAACATTGTAAATCAGTGACTATACGAGTAGCTTTTCGTTGATATTTATACGTTTGGATATGACGTCACTGTAGTGCAATTACCCGTATCAATATGCAATCCTCTTCGTTTTCTCGTCATAAACTGTGTCATACCTCATTTAGAAAAGGAAATATGAAAATATGTAGTCATCGTTTTATTTTTCTTCTTCCCACACAATACAACAAGGTATTACACAACTATTCTCATTAGCATTCGAATTTTCAGCTTCACGAACAACGAATCCACCGAATTTTTCTCGAATAATCCAACTACTAATAACAGGTTGATGTCCATCATAGTTGTTCAACGCAAAACGTTCTTGATAAATGCCATCACCATCAGAACCATACATTGGCTTGTTAACAAATAATATTTCTTTGGTTTCATCCGTTAAATTCCATTCAGCACGTAGTAAATGTGAATGATTGGGATACATTTCCCACAGTACAGATAAGAGTGCTCTATTCTTGGTAATAATCTTCCAAAAAGGTTCAATAATTTTAATTTGTTCATGTAATAGAATGTCACTTATTCGTGGATGTTCATCATCCTGATGTTCAGCGGACTGCTCATCGCGAAGAACAGTGTCCCAGACCCATAACTTCCAAACTACTTGAACTAGTTCACCATCTTTATCAACAATACGATCGTCTTTCCAGAATAGTTGATCGGTACCGATGAAAAGCTTCGATGAAACATTGGCTTCTTTTAGAACGCTTTGCATATAGAGAGCAGTAAGCATTTCTTCTTGATTGTCGTTGATTAATAAATGTATCGGAGCCGTGATATCCATTATTTTCCAATTGTTAACTAAGATCTGATGGAGACGTCGACCTGAAGTAAAACTCGATGGTAATTCACCTATTTCTGCCCATTTCTTTTGTATAATAGCACTTTCAAAAAGAGCCGTTGTATTATCAGCATGATATTCTAAAACTTTGGTTTGTTCTCCATTGAATACTAAATCTAATCGACCCGTCATCGTCAGATGTTGTTCGTCATTCCAGGAACGGCGAAGACGATTCCAAAGTCGCTTTGGTATTCCAAAACGTGTTAATAACGCATCATCGTCAATGACACGTTTGGTTGCTTCGAGAAACATTTGATGTAATTCATTCGATGTTTCAGCAGTCGCCAGAAGAAAATCAACATTAATTTTATAATACACTAAATGATTCGAAGAAATATTTACACGTTGAAAATTATCGAGAAAATGTTCGATAAAAAATTCCTCTGGCGGATTGTCTTTGTTTAACCAACCATCTCTTGTCACATCACTCTTCTCGGGAATGGCACATCGTTGAATTTTACCTATCGGAAGACGTTCTTGATAGCGAGGATGAATCATATTGATAACAGATTCATCCAACGGTTTTAGTTCATTGTTCTCATCTTCAATTTCCATCCATCCATGCATAGGATCTTCATCTTCAAGATAATACAGACCGTCTTTTTCTACCATACGAATTTCGCGGGCGTATTCACCGTTCCAATAGTGAAACTTAACATTCTGTTCAGCAATACGAATGTAATCTGGTCCCACATCGCAGATAACAGCAATATGACCGACAGGTTGCTCTTCACTAATTGAATAAATAAGAAACGAATCGACCTGCGGTTTTGTCGGAGAACCATTCGCATGAGGTATTAAACGAAATTGTTTTTCGTCAGTAACACGCTCAACGTATTTCAGTTGAGTCCAAATATCCGCAGCAAACCGAACACTCTTGAAAACGCAACTTTTTTTCAGTAATAACCATCGTCGTGCGTATTCAACACACTGCCATTTAACTCCAAGAAACACGCCATGCATATAATGACGTTCGATATGAAACACGCCATCATCCGTATTCGAAAAAGCTGGCACATTTGTAAAAGCTGTGCCCAAGACGTGATTAAAAGGTGCTCGGACAAGTTCACTGTCGTCCATTTTATGTAATCAAATTCGACACTACGTCGCAGAGCTTATATCTCATGAAGAAGAAGAAAAGTGCTTTGTCAGCATGGTCGTGCGTAATTCTATCACATGGCTTTCTTTTTTTCTTTTGCGTTCTGTACGTACCATGCCGAGTCATTTCTTATCAGAATTTTTTCTTTCTCTTCTCCTGTCGATCGTTGCGACTATCGCACAATATTCGTTTACATAGTATACAGTCCAAGAAGTGCAACAAAAGAACATGATAACATTAGACATCGTCCTACGAGCGCCATAGGTTTCTGATTGAATGATCGAACTGTGTTCTATATGTGTTTGATGGTAAAACAAAAATATCAGAGTTTAACATCGATGGAATGAATGAAATGAAATAACTAATGAGATATAGCCAAGGTTCACGAGCAGATTTCATACATTTCGATAAGAAAGAAATAATCAAGTGAGGAACAGCTAATAGAATCAGAACTATGAGCGAAATAAGTAGACGTTTGCGTTGTTGGAACTGTTCATGTGAAACTGTTGTACGAGGCTTTTTTCTCTGAATATTTGAACGATTTCGAGCAGAAATAATGACGATTGTCCATGCTGATATGAAATTGATCAGAAATGGAAAAGCAAAATGAATGCTATTAATAATCCAATCGTATATTTGTAAAGGTCGAGAGTATTGGCACAAACACAATGATCTCCAAAATATTTTTTCGGACATAGGCATATTGATCGATGTGTTGATAAACTATAACGTGAATTATCGAGCATACATGAGCCATTGTTTTAATATGAATTACATAACGATCATCGAGGGTAATATCGATGAGCGATATCTATCAAGAGAACATACACAAATCGAACCGTAGCTACAGAGAGACGATATGCAGGTAGACAGGAAAAAGCTAACTCGATCAATGTGTTAGTGTTAATTTATTGAAAACATCGATTTGCACTGAAGAATTTCTCAGCAGATTCTTTGGTCGAGACGGATAAAGCAGATAAATATTATACTTCGTCTGGCAATCACGTATAGATAGATATTCTATAAAATCAGATGACTCCAGTTTTTGTTCATTATTGATTAAACGCACCACTAAAGATAAATGTAGTTCGCTAATCTGATGTAGCTTGAATTTGAATTGTTAAACTTACATGTTGATTGTGATGTTCACAGCGATCTTCATGGTAAGCAGGTGAACATAGACAGTGCAATTCAGATTGACTACTACTTGTTCGTTTGTAAATAGACAGTCCCCGATCACAATGCCAACCGTTAAACGAATCGCTTTGTAGTTTTCTAAGTTCTCTGTCTACCATTGACCTGCTTAAGTTTATCTCTGTTGTTAATTCCGGCAAGTAAGTGGGTTGATTCTGTAGTTTGAAATATACAATTATTGCTAGTACGGGACCGTCGAACGAATCACACAGGAAGTTTTTGACATCAGTGCGATTTATCACATTCGAAGAACATATTGGATTTCTACGAGATCCATCGTTTTGACAGAATTTTTCATCATCACCTTGCGAACAAGTTGCATTTCTATCGCAAAGATCGTTGCAATGAAAATAATACATAACGAGCAGAAGAGTTTTTCTGAGACAAATATTCTATTCATCAGATGCACCGAGACAGTCAATAGTGCCATCGTTGAATTTGCTGCCTGGTATGCATGTTAATTTCGATGTATCCTTCAGTAGGACAATTGATCTCGTCGATTCCATTTTCACACAACCAAAAGTGATCACGCATTGTGTACGTATTGTTACACGGTCAATCTTCACAATGAGTTTCAGCGTGTTCACAATCTCGTTTTCCGTCATAGATAATTAATGGTCCTAAACCTTTCTTTTTGCCATCACCGAAGTATTCAAAGCGATGCCGACTATCATCAAACGAACAGCTTTGATTGAATGTTTCGTCCTCATCGAACGGACAATCTTTTATACCAATCACAAGACGATATTTTGAAATATATTTTGTTGAATTGAAACATCGATTTAATAATTGATGTGATAAAGCAAAGACGAAATCGCTCTTTGATATCTCTTTCCAAGTTCTCACGATCACTATACGATGTTTAATCCAACCTTAATTGATGAAAGTAACGACAAGTCGAACCATTGAACTGTACTGTAAGTGGAAGAGAATCTCTACAAAGATTTTTGTTATAACATGCATCAAACCCAAAGGACATTCATATAGTTCGAGGCAATACTTCAGCGTACAATTATTACTTATATAAAATCCATCACACTAAGGAACATCCATGTGTATTATAGACAAGTCATAGCATACGAAGAAAGATTGTGCAGTAAAGGATTATGACGACCGTTTTGACATTTCTGCTGTACATTGACCATCGCCGCATGAATATTCGTTTTTTTTTCTATCAACATGTATGTTCTTTGCATCGAAACGAAGGACCTCTTGAGCAAAAATCAGGATAACCATTGTCTCGTATCGATTCCTTGGTTCGATCTAAACATATCAATGATGTCCATGTACATTTCAACTGTTCATATCAAGTTATTATAGAACCGTTGGTGATCATTGGCTTATTATAAAAATGCGATAAAACCACTTCATCCGACGATCTATCGTTCGCAAGATCGAATGCAGAATTGTATCGAGGTCCAAACCATGGCGACGAGCAATTGTAGAACAGTATGTCATTTTCAAATGATGACGATTCATTCATGCTATTCAAATAGATTTCATATCATTCGGCTAAACCAATAGTGGCTGACCAAGACAGTAACTGTTTACTAGAAATATTTTTCGCTCGTAATTCAGCAAACTTTAAACCATTATGAATCGTATTATCAATACTGATATCTTCATCCAGAATACTTTCGTTCGATAATCGGATACAATATGGAATTACCTGATGTGTCAGTATATATGGTTCCTCGTAATCCCCGATATCCTTACGAACGTCATACAGAAGACAATACTTATCGAGACCATGTGCAGTATCATACATATTAACTTGATGTTGTAGCATTCCGTGCAGTTTGAACATTGTTAAAACGAGTGAAAGAAACATTTTTTAGATTCTTTCAACTAACTCGCAGCTTTGTAGAAATAAAACTAAATCATATTCATATTTATATAATGTCTGTCACGTGTGTAATTTTCTGTCGTAAATAGAAATTCTACAACGGACACGTTTTGAAAACTTAGAAATCTTTCAAATCATATACAATCGCATACTATGAAACATGTGATACAGCTATCGTGCAAATCAAATGTGTATTAGCAAGCTAGTCTGCGATTAATTGATTATTCCTTTTCCTTATTGATGGAATAGAGAATGTACGAGCAAACAGAGAGCGTAGTCTTTTTCTCTTTAGTTGTATCATCCATTCTTTCTCCGCCAGTCTTGCACCGCAGGCAACATGATTTATAACGCTCCACGCATTATCTTGTCTCTTGATAATGAAGCAGAGCATTCATAATGCATGTTCTATTTCTTCGTAATGCGACGATGCTCTTCAGTAAGATAAATAACTATAAGAGCAGTTGTTTTCAACCCGATCCGACATGTGTTGAATCTTGATTTTACAATTCATGTATACTAACTAAGATTTTGTGCAATACCAGCACGCACCTGGTCAGCATATTATCCGCTGGGAATATTCACAAAATCTATTAATCTCTAGATTCTACTGGGAAAGTACTTTTTCCCGTTCCAGCATATTCATCTTTTTTTCAACGCACAATTTTTTAGTTATACGTTCTTATCTATTCTTCTCTTATCTTTCATTGCATTCATATGTGTGCGAGCGCAAACGTATTCATAACGTATAGTCTTTCAAGTAAACAAGTATTATATATATGCATATATATATGACTTGCTTCGAAAATACTTACTACCGATGAATCAAACCATAAAAAATATCAGTCTAATACCGGTTGATGCAACAAAATGTGAAGATCACGAAGAAGTTTCATCAACTAATAGAAATTCCTATCGGCGAATCTTTCATTCAAAAATGCATCTCAAACAATTTATTCTCTGGATTGTTATTTTTATCTCCTTGTTGATCATATCTGGTCCGCTTGCACTTCACGTGTCCTATGCAGTACCAACAGTTAAATCACGATCTGTTTCTCATGACCAATTCAGTGAACAACGTGCTCTTGATTATTTGAATAATTTAACACAATTTGGATCACGAGTGCGCAATACACGTGGAAATTTCCAAGCACGGGATTATCTCATTTCTGAACTTCATCGTATCAATTCAAGAAACAAACGACATCTTTGGTTTCAAATTGAACTTCAAAACTTTACCGATGCCAAAGAAAATCTCCTACAAAACGTTCTTGTTCGTGTATCAAATGCCAGTCAAATGAAGAAACACATGCCGAGTCTTATGTTAAGTGCTCATTATGATTCTGTTGAGTTCAGCCCTGGAGCCTGTGATGATGGCACTGGCGTTGTCACTATACTCGAATTATTATCCAATCTAGTTCACGATAGCACAACCACCTTTTCCACCATGGATCTGATTGTTTTGTTTACCAATGCGGAAGAATCTGGTCTAGTAGGTGCGAAAGCGTTTGCCAATCACCATCGTTGGCAATCCGATATTCGTTTTTTTATCAATGTTGATTCGATGAGCTGTAATGAAGTAGCTTTTTTAATGGAAATGACCCAATCTCAGGTTTTTCTCTCATGTTCACTTGTCAACAAATTTTCTTTCTTCCCTTTTGTATCCTATAGCTTGCGATCGATTACAGTCGAGTGGCAAGACCACGTGCTAATGTTATCAACGAGTTGATACCCCTGTTGTCTCTATGGGGTACGGACTTCGACGCGTTGCATTCGAATCACACTCGATCAGGATTCGATATTGGCTTTCTTCTTGATGGCTATACCTACCATACTCCGCTTGATCAGCCAATAAGAATTAAACAAGGTATTGTCCAAGATTTAGGAGACAATCTTGGTATCTTGATCCGAAATCTATTTCAAAAAGGAAATGTTTCCCTGTCAGGAAATATGACCGATACAGATTTATTGATTTACTTTGATGTACTTAGCCGATATTTGATTATATATAAACAATCGACATCGATATTAATTCAGAAGATTTTAATTATCCTGACAATCACTATCAGTATACTTCTCATTGTTTGTGATCACATGCGGCATCGAAAAGAAAGAACTCGATTATGCAATGATCGTCAATGCATCTATTTCTATTTTAAATATCCATTTTGTGTTCGTATTGTATCCATCATTATGTATTTCATCACGAATATTATTTCGATCATTGCTGGTTTCGTAATCTCAATAGTTTTCGCATGGATTATGTCAATCATTCGATCCATTGGATGGAATGGTAATGCAGTACTGGCGATGATTCTTTTCAGTTTACCGTATCTTATTGGATTTTTTCTCGGTGGATGGCTAGGCGATCGGTGTCTTCGGTTTCTCCTTCGAAAAGTGCCGAGAAATATCTCGGAAGTAAACGGCAAACATGTAACAAATGTTCACTTTAATTTCGAACAAAACTTATCCATTTTGTTAATCTATTGTTTATTGATGATCATCTCCGTTTCATTCAATCTCCGAACACTCTACTTCATTCTTATTTGGACGATTTTCATCTGTCCGATTTATCTTTGCGTGATGATCATTGAATGCATTTTCCATTGGAAACCAACACAATCGACATTATTGAAACACAAGTCCTATTGGTTATATTTACCACTGATCGTTTCATTTTTCCCCTTGATGCATACAATCGGAACAAGCAACTATCTCATACGTCTTCTCAGTCCTACTATAATGAAAATTTTCACCTATAAACTTTTATTCAAAGCCAATCTAGCCATGAGCGGATTTGCTCTGGTTCCAACATTATTTACTACATTAAATCTTGCTTCAATAACGCAACGAATTAGATGTTTCAGTTGGATATTACTCATTCTTTTCGCAAGTTTCCTGCTTACTTGTTTCATAACTATCAATCGTCAACCATTCGACAAAGATCATCCACATGTTCTGCATGTGAATCACACATCAACGTCGATTTATCGCGTTGCAAATCTAACCAACGTGCCAATGATCGTTCCACTCCAATCGCAATCAGCGTTAATCGCAATTGCAGCTTTTTATGGTCGAGCTCTATCGCCTATCCTAGATCGATTCTCGGCTGAAAAGAATTACGAACTACAGAATAAGACCTGCCGCTATCCAATCTACTGTACATTCAACGATACATTTAATCGTACAATGTCCATAAAACAGATCCGGATAGCATCAGTCGACAAGAGCCTGATGGCTTACAAAATTATTATTCAACACGTTTTATCATACAATATTCATATTTCGTCAACATCAGATGTGCAACTGACTATTTGGAATCGATTTCATCTTCCGAGAACAGAAACAATTATTGATGTTACACTAAATTCGTCTGGGACGCGATTAGTTCAACTCGATATCAACATTCGACGATGTGACATATCCGATTCGCCTTTCTTGGTATCTCTCACCCAATTCATGTCCGATAGAGTTGTGATGGGTGGTGGTAATTGTTCTGCAATCAATGATTACGCAACGCTGACAATCGATGGAACATAGAAAACTTTGTTTTATTATAATCCCGATCAAATAAAATACTGAATGTAAAGCGTTTTCGAATGTTCACGAAAAAAAGTAAACTAACTCATGACTCCGACTCTCATGCGATGAAATCTTATAAAAACTCGTCGAATAACTGAATAGAATTCTTCTTTGTAGCCGTCTGCTGACATGATGAAGATGGTAAGTGTCATCATCGATGGGATGAATGAAACGAGATAGCCGATGAGAAACAACGATGGATTTTGCGATGATTTCATACATCGGCTGACAAACGAGATAATCAAGCGCGGTAAAGCTAATAGCAACAATGCACAGGATGCAATCAAATTGTGTTTGTGGTGACGAAATTGCTCACGTAGATTCGTTCGCAGTGTTGTTCGCGGTTGTGTTGTTGTACGCGAATGCGCCATGAGAACGATGATATATGTAGTCGAGAAGAAATTCATCGCGAAAGGAATAAGAAAATGAAAAAATGTAATGATTGTGCTATAAGTATCAGCTGTTGGTGAATATTGAACGATACACCATGTTCGTTGTTCATCAATATCGACATCATCGATTAATTGACGGTAGAATGGATCATGGACATTAGTTAGAACTGTTAAAATGTATATTCCAAAAATAATACGTTTTGCTAATTTTTTGCTCTGATTTTGATTGAAATTCGCGCCTTTATATGTAACAAATACTTGTTCAATCGATATACATCCGCCGAACCAATCATTGGTAGCAATGAGAATATTAAGAATGAAATCCAACGACACACAACTAAATTTCAAATACGAACGATTGCTTAACACCGATATTTGGGATAGAAACAAATGCCAACATTTGATAACTAACATTATAATCAGACATATCGAGTTCCATGATGATATCAATAAGTATGAACCGCAACCAATACTTTTTATTTCTTGGATCTCATAGGCCATAACCGACAGGAATCCATTGATCAATCCAAGACACAGCATGAGTGATGTGATGACAATAGTCATTTTAATAATAAATGATTGTTGATGAATTGATCGATGGGGAACAATATGATACCCGAGAATGTAATCAAGCGATGAAACGAAGCCTCTGCTTGAAAATTGACACTTTGTACCGTAGTAACACTGCTGACAAATGCATATCGATCGTGTAGGACATGTTGGATTGTCTTGTAAACAAAAGCCATTGTTTTCGCAGATATTCGCGCCTTGGCAATCGTAGGAGATCGACGAGATATTAAATGCGAAGCAATTCGAAAAACGATATCGATCACAAATGCACATTTGATATTCATCGTGAAAACACTTCAGTTGAGAGTTTTGTTGACATAGCAGAGAGTAATATTTCGTCCGACGAAGAAATGGATACTGAAGCAATGTTTTGTTCATGATCTGATTAATATGATAACATTGTTGATCGGAGAGAATACTCACTTGGATATGTTCGGATTCGAAGAATGTCTCGCGTACCACAGCTAAATAGAATTTATGGTCGACTAGTTCAATGAAAATCAAATGAAATGGAAATGTCATATAAAGAGTTAGAAGATTTTGTTGTATGTGAACTTTTTTCAATACTGTGGTATACTGACGATTATCACTTTCCGATGCGCGAATGAAATGCGCAGATATGAATGGCGTCATATGGATTTTGTTCGGATCGAAGTAGATGTCAATACGGTTTTGATTGTATTGACATGTTTTGCCATAGAAACCATCAGGGCATAAGCAAAAGAACTTCTGTAAACCCATGCGATCGTCGACGGGAACGCAAAGGCCATTGTTTTTACAAGGATTATTGGTTTGTTGACAAATCGAATGGTTTAAATAGCATTTCGAACCGAATTTATTCAATGGGCAAACACAAATCGACGACGAGAGACACAGCGACTCGGATGAACATGAACAATTGTGTTGAATGTGACAGTGTGCACCAGAGTATCCTTGTTGACATTGGCAAAAGTACGAGTTCTTCTTATTTAAGTATTCGACGCATCGACCGTGGTGACCGCAAGCTAATGGACATGATTTCTGTGGAATCATCGGCGTGTTGGGAATCGATATTTGAGTAGCAATACGATTAACAGGTAAAAACTGAAATGGAATTGACAAAGACCAACTTCCATAATATGCCAAGGTTAGTTTATCAAATATATCAATATGAATCGAATAATTAGCCGAGCGATTCTTTGGTTTAGTCGGATATAGTAGATAGATATTAAACTTTGTGTCACAGTTCTCCTCAGGAATGTAAAGAATTTGTTCGTGATAAGATGTGACATATTTTTGTTGGTCAATCAACGTAATAACCAATTGAAATATTGAGCCCGCATTGGATGTATTGGTTCGATAGATGAATTGCAGCGTTAAGCTAATACGTTGATTTTGCCATTGGCATCGCTTACCGTAATAGGATGGTGGACATAGACATGTTTTGGTGTAATTAGTTTTGTAGAAAACAAGAATTCCTCGATTGCAATACCAGTTTTTATCAGTTTTCGTTAATGTCTTGACGTCGGTCGCTGTTTTCGCATTAGAGTTATTCAACCGAAGTAGCTCAGATGAAACGAATGGAAAAAAGCCTAGTTGTGACGATGTAAATTCGAATCGTGCTTGATCGTCTCGTATGGCTGATTGTAAGCTAAAATGGCAAATATTCGCTCGCATGATTGGCTTCCAATAAAACAGTTCGATCAAACAGGTCAGTTTACTAAATGTACGACAGAATTGATCAAAAGCCGCATTTAGTATGTCGAGTTGACATATCTGTGAGATAGAAAAACATTGTGGCGTTCTTGAACATTCAGTAATGTTTCCTTGGGTTGTGTTGCGCTTGTTAGGATAAACAATTTTACTATCGAACTTCTGCGCAATCGAGCGCATCGCACGTTCACAAAATAAATTCGTAACAATTGTTTTCGAGCACGAATCTTTGCGTACAGTGTATTCTAATCGAGGACAATTGAGTTCATCCGTACCATCAGGACAATTTGCAACTCCATCGCAGCGCGTATAAGGATTATTACATGGCCAATATTCACAATTGGTTTCATCAGTTTCATTTGCATGCTCCAATAAATTTTCTGTGGTGCCGTCACATAAAAGACCGACTGGTACATATCCTTTGATAATATTCCGTTGAGTTTCATCCATTTCATCTTCTTTGTCTTGACACTCATTCTTTCGATTGTACAAAGCAATAGGCGCTAAACACTTATTCGGTTTCGATGAACAAATAAATCGTTGTGAGTGATTCAATTGGCAACTATCGGCCAGTTCATCTTCATTATAATAACAATCAGTAATACCATCAACGAGCCGATGTTTAGAAATACATTTCAATGAAATAGGACAATGAAACAGGGATGGGTGCGAACAGTTCTGTTCGATCCCTGTAGTCACACAGTGATAAAACAGCTGATCGAGAGCTTTTCGTAGTTGTGTTTCATTGGATAACGACTCGTTCGTAATAACGTTCGCAGGATAACATACCAGTCCATTATGTAAACCAATGTCGATAGCATCTCTAGCTAGGTGTAAGCAATCCTGCGGGTAAAAACAAATGAAATCAGGTCGCAGATGATGATAGAAATCATAAAATGTTCGATTCGGTAAATAGATGAAATGAAATATCGAATGAGTGGTGTACATTTGTATTTTGAAGAGCCGTTTAGCTATGCACGAAGTCTTGCAAGAAATGACTGTATACATGGACTCTGAACTCGACAATATTTGATTCCAAATGTGCATATTAGACTGCAATATCGATTCTGTTAGTTGGTTCCAAGATTCATGGGAAATATTTGTAAAAGTATGATTTCGAGATAATTTCAAGTTTAAGTATCGACCATTGTCACAACTCATATCAGTTCGACTCTTCGAATGAAAAGGATAATAATGTCCATCACCGCATTGAAAAGAATATTGATAACGACTTGTATGTTCTTCGCATTGAAATGTCGGAATTGTGAAGCAGAAGGTGCCGAATATAGTTTTCATTTGTTCGATTATTAGAGTTTCATCCGTACCATCGAGACAATCTATATGGTTATGTTTATCTCGCACAAATGCTAAGGGAATGCATTGTCCGCCATAATGACATCGATACGTATTGTCAGGACATTCATTTGTTTCCATAGTTTGACAATTTTGTTCATCCTCACCGTTGATGCAATCATATTTTCCATCGCAAATCTCACGCCAATCAAGACACATTCGTGACAATTTATAAGAGCACGTCGGCAAAAATGGATAGCATGTGCCAAGATTAAAATCTGGTAAAGTATCTGTAATTCTGGTCCGTGTAAGAAAATTTAATCGAAGAATTTGATCAAACGATAGTGAAACTTCGCTGTCGAATTTGTATTGACAACGGGATCCGAACCAAGGCGATGAACAATTGTAAAATACAATCGTTTTATCTGTCGCGTTGATTGCATATCGTTCAACAAGATCAATAGGAGCTGACCAATTAAGTAACTCTTCCGTTGTTACACCATTCTGACGTAAATCCGCGTATGTCATGCTATTATATGTGTTGTTAAATAAGAGTGTTGTGTTTTCTTCGTCGTCTTGCTCGTGTTCAGTCGGTCTTCGACAATACGGTATTAAATGATACGTCGTATCAGTACGAATATCATCGTATGCTTCGTTATCCGTTAAATGAGCATAGAGACAGTCGAAGCCAAGTTCAGCCGATAAAACTTGATCGGAATGATAGAGAGAGTAGTGCGTATTGGATACTTCGATTGAAATGATTAATACAAGTAAATGTAAAACATGCATAGTCGATTCGTTTGCTGCTCGTAGAATAAATGTTCCTTTTTTTCTTGGGAGCAAAGTGCGTTTTGGTACCACTGCGCGTTATTTTGTTTTGCGCCGACTACAGTGCAAGAAAAAGTAACTACGTAAAACTATTTTATGCTAATGCTTCTGTTTGATATTGATGTGAAAACACGAACATATGCTAGGCAAAGCTGATGTTAAGCAGAAAAGGTTCACATCTGAACCGTAGGTAGACTTTTTTTTTATTTTGGACCAATTACCTTTCATATTTTACTTTGCCTGGGTGTATATCACTGCGTCTGACGTTTATGAAGCTCTTGTGATGGATTAGTGCGACACGTAGTTTCCACCTCAATGCATTAGTTTTTATTTTTTTGTCTGTTCTCTGAGATAAGAACTTTGTTGAAACGTCTGATATTTACTTTTATCTTTCCGTGGCATATGATTCACTCATTCAGAGTGGTTCAACGAGTCGCATCGTTTCAGATTATAGCTGCGTAGCTGTCACATGTAACATGTGTATAACAACGGAATTCTCAGTTTGTTGAAGTTTCAATAGAAGTATGCTATTCAGTAGCCTTGTGTATTCTGCGTGATGAAATCATCACTGACAAGCTCAATATAGATTAATTGGATAGTTACTGAGTAATACTCTTCAGTAGTCGTACAAGACTGTTTTCCGGACTTTCTCAAAGAACTTCATAGAGTCATCAATGGTGGCTGGGTGAGGAAATTCGATTCATTTTATTTGAATTTGGTCATGTAAAATAAGGAAGTTCAATCAAAGAGAAAAGTATTACTTTATTGTCACTATTGTTCTTCCCGGTTCTTCGACTCCGAACGGTTTTCCCGTAATAAATGCGTAGAATTTCGCAAAAATTCCCATTGTTTGCTTTCTAAACGATGCTGATGTAAAAATATAAATATAAAACGGTAATGCCGTATTGAAATACATCATAAATGACTGTGCCATGTAGTTAATAAACGTTTCAATTTGTTTCCTCTCTTTAGATTTCACCCAGTCATCAGTAATAATTTTGTAGACAAGAAAAATCGAGAATGGTAACGTGCTGAGAACATAAAACAGCACCTCGACTAAAACCATTTTTAGCAAATCTCGGTCACGTTTACGAAGCTTATTCGCTACCGGAAGATGCTGTGACACATTCTCACCTGTTGGAGTGATCCGGGCACGCATTTGTTTCAAATTTCTCATGACTAATAAACTGAATAGCATAATTAAAAATGGTGGTAAAATGCCCGCGAAGATCAAGTAATAAATCGTGTAAATTAGTGCATATAAGTCATCGAAAATATTGCAGGAGTGATTTTCCACTGTTCGCACAGCGGCAAAGAAGATCACAACCAATATCCAAAAGATTCCACCGATAATCACCATACGCTTCGCAACTTTGTATTGACTGAATCCTCGAATAGTCATGTTCAAACTACTCAGAGCAAAACGATCAATACAAGCTAATACTTTATAATGTCTCATCATTTGAAATGATGCATGACGAATGTAAAATTGAAGTTTACAGGAGACAACAGAAACTGTGCTAATGTCAAGATGATCCAACGAAAATATGATTGGAACGATGCCGACATCCAGACACACTAAATTGCATACTGTCATCCATAGTAAATAGAAGGAACATGGATTGAGTCGTTGACTTTTTTGAGCGAATATGGCAATTGTTAATAAATTGCCGAGATTGCCGAATGCGACATAGGTGCTCATTCCATAGCGAGTGAGTAGTTGTTGAACAATAGTTAAGTATGCTGTTGCAGACATTGATATAAAGACTACTGCGAGATAGGAGATTTATCTTTATTTTTTATATCACGATGATGATATACATCTTATTAAATGTCAAAATTTTTCTAGCGGAAAGTCGGTAAGTTGTCATCGTGTATTACGAATGAAATGTTTATGAATTTGCATCGAGAAAGTTTCGTCGAACTGATCGGTACGAATTGGAAGAGGGAAATACGTATTGAGAATGAAAAGCTTTTCTCCCTATCATCACTGATCGGCAGAATATGGATACATTGACATTCGAGTAATTGGTATAGATGAAGAAGGAGGAAGAAGAAAATTAATCTTGACAGATCGCGTCCTTCACAAATGAAGAAATGATGGAACCATTTCTGAAAAGATTCATTCACTTGAATACAATTTGTTGTTTGTTCAGATGTCGGAATGATTTATTTTCACTTACTTGTCACCTGGGTATTATAAAGAAAGCTGTCCCAGCAAATCAATGCAGCATGGCTTCATCTGTCAAGAGTTTCCAAAATTACACGCAAAACGCTCTTGATACTTTTCTTTCGTGGATAAATACTTGATTACCCGCATACAGACAATATTCTAAATATTTCATTAACACTCGTCTCATTTGCGTCTTCGTGCTTTTAATTTCGTTTTTTTCCTCGACCGTGTGACCTGCATGCTGAAAAGAAATCTTCTTCTGATGGCGTTGAAAAATACTTCACAGGAACTCCATATACAAACCCAATCAAAGATTGCGAGGATTCATCGGTTTTTGAATGCTCGAACTGATCAATTTGAAAAAATATTCAATAGTTAAATAAATCAGTTCAACATGAAAGTAAACAACAATTCAATGAAATAATTAACTTTAGATGCCTTAACAGTATTAATTATGATCATTAAAGTAGGAAAAAAACAAGCGAAAATAATCACTGATATTCTGTGTGATATATACAATACGATGAGGTTCATGCTGGCCAGTTCAGTTTTTCAGAGATTCTTGAATAAAACGATAAGGAAAAAAAAGAAAAATATGAGCAGTTTTTGTCGAAAATTTTCATCGTGGTATAGCGTATTCTTGTTTTTGTAATGTCATAATGAACATAGATGCTGATTGTACTGTTGGCGCCGTATAAAGAGGTTCGTTGACACCGAAACACTGTAATTTATCTGCGGATTTTGCATTGCCCCAACTATTTAGTATATATTGAATAGCACCTGTTCTGGTGATCGAAATGGTTTGTATGTCCGTATTTTTATAGTTGAAATTTTGAGAAGGACAAAATAACAAACCAGTACCACACGATGGCGTCCATGTTCGATCACTAAATGATACGGTTACCGTACCATTTAATGAATCAATTGCGGCAGCGTAAGCAAGAGATCCGATATAATACGCAACATATCTATTTTCTAATATGAATGTTGCTTGAATAGTTAAAGAACGAACTGTGCCAGGATGTGACGTAGTTAAATAGTCAAAATAGTTGCTCAAAACTGGTTGGCATGATACAGTTGGTAATGTTTGACCATTCGTCTTGTTGATAAGTGCGCATATAAACAATTGTAACACTGCAACAGACCATCTATTTGTTAGCATGTTGGAACGAGACCAATGTTGATATCAATGTATAATGATCGAATGGTCGTTCGGTATATATATATCTTCCTCCCGAGCATATTTTTTTAGCATAAATCAGAGATTTGCGTTTGATAAAATGCAGTTTTCAAGGGCGCAAATGCTTATTACCGAAATACGAATATCATCTAGACGTCATTTTCATTACGTTTTAACTTATGACAAAATAGAACAGAATAAGTCATCGAACAATGTGACGCATGTAAACGGTTCATTGCGCATTATGCTCTACTTCGCAGTAGTTAAGAAAATTGTGTACGTGTTCCATGTACTGGAGTATTTTTCTAATCATAAAGTGAAACATTAAACGGTTCCTGGTATATCAAGATAAGAACAAAAGTATATAAGGTCATAAAAAGTAAATATGCAAGAGTCTTAACTCAATAGAGAATGTCAATAGTGTTTTATCATCGTTCTATGTTTGTGAAAGTGGGTTTCGTAAGACAACACGCACGTTTGAAATTATTTTAGAGATGCTTGTTATTTTCTGTATACTTACTTTTGTTGCGTCAAAAATATATGCGGGAACAGAGCAATGTCTTCCATCGAAATCGTCTATTGAAAATGAACTTCATCGTGTTCATATCCCAGGTCTCGCAGCCATAGTTGTCAATGCTACGGATGTTCTCTACAGTGAAGGTTTCGGTTACCATTCGCCTTTATCTACTCAGCATCCAATTGATCCGTCGCGATCGATCTTCGTCATTGCTTCTATTTCGAAGACATTCGTCGCGTTAGCTGCGATGCAATTAGTCGAAAGCGAAGTTCTCAATCTCGATAACGATGTTAATTATTATCTCAAATTTCCTACACGAATAATTCATCCATTGTTTCCAAATGCAACCATTACAATGCGTCATATTCTTTCACACTCGACAGGTTTGGGATCGAATTACGAAGAAGACTTTCAGCATGGCATGCCAGGAGATGATTTCGTAAAAACAAATCTAACCGAAGTGGTTCTCAGATATTTGACAAGCAGTGCTAGTTGGCTTGCTAAAGCACCCGGCGATGTTACATATTATTCGAATATCAATGCAGCATGGGGTGCTTTAGTTGTCGAGCGGATCTCGCATCTATCATTCGAACGATACGTTCGATTGATGATTCTCGATCGATTAGGCATTGAATGGACAGAAGCGAGCTACCGTTTAGCAGACTTTGCTTCGAGACGTGAGGATATTGTTGAGCATTTCCTCTACAATACATCTTTGTTAGCAACTTATCAACAAATTATTCCACAATTGAATGTTGTTCAGGTACACGATTTCAAAGAATTGAGTTCATGATGAATTTTATCCTCCCGTTTTGCAGGCAGCAAACTCCTCCGATTGGCTCTATCTACCTCCTTACGGTATCAGTGTCTATCCAGCAGCTATGCTTCGAATGTCAGCTTACTCTCTATCAATCTATCTTCAATCATTCCTGAATAATTTCACTCCCCGTCTTCTTAAGAAATCCTCAACAGTCGACGAAATGTTGCGCATTGTTCGTCAGGAAGGTCCTGCCGACGAACCTGATGTGCAGTATGCACTCATTTGGAACTGGCGAACTCAGAAGAGTCGACGTCTTGTTGGTCACCGAGGATGGATGCCTGGTATTGCTCATTCAATGATGACGAATGCAGAGCGCACTTTAGGAGTGATCCTGTTGTCTAGCGGCGATATTACTTGGGGAGACGCTTTGGCTCAACAAGTATCATCGACTTTAGTAAATTTGATGGATCAATTGTTTAACTGTTATGAAGAGTTAGCACTTCATTCGTCTACTTGTTTTCAAACTGTCGGTGACTTCCAAATCATGGCGTTCGTTTTTTTACTTTATTTCTTCGCCAAATATTGAGAGTGAGAAAACAGATAAGTGCAACTGAGAATGAAAACATCATAAATACTTATAAAAACAGTCATGACCTAAAAAATGAGTGAAAGAGTAGGTGGACAAATATCTTACTCATCATGTACATATACAACCACCCTCTCTTCTCTTCTGACGCAATAAAATTTCTATTTTTTCGTTATTATCTAACTATTGTGAAATTTTGTTCGTGTTTCATTGAATGAATCACGCCATGACAACTATAAAAACTTGTATTCATAACGTTGAGTATTATAACATTTGTTTCCCAGTAATAATACCCAGTGAGAAATTATGATGAATCATTATCCTTCTAGAAAAATAAGAACAAGTTGGTGCTATTTATATTAGAGTTTATATGTTGGCAATTTCCTAGTGTTACTCAATAATTCAATTAAACTATAGCAAAAAAAGCTGACTAATACTACCTTCACAGTATCGGACTTTTCCAAATGTCGATTGCGCCACCTATATATGTATATGTTCTACAGTGTTACACAACATTAACATCTAGTCTGTTGACTACATCGCAAAAAACTACAATACGAATTGTTGTTCGTTAAATTTGCTCTTCTTTCTAGATTGCTTTTTAGTATATTATTATGTCAGTTTCCAAAGTCCTCACCATCCATTATGGCCAGTTGCAAAAGAACCCAGCTCCATTATGTTTCGCAGAGCCCAAAGATCCAAGTACGAATATGCTTCATTGGACGGGATGGATCGAGGGACCTCCAGACACGCCGTTTTCCGGTGGTAGATTTCATTTTGTAATTGACTTTTCAGTAGAGTTTCCTTTCAAACCTCCTGCTGTACGATTTACTACGCAAATTTTTCATCCGAATATAAGTACAAGCGGAGAAATCTGCTTGGACATTCTGCACTCTCAGTGGTCACCAGCTTTGACGATCCGCGGTCTTCTGATCTCGGTATGTTCATTGCTGACCGATCCGAATCCAGAACATGGATTGAATAAAGAAGCGTTGAAACTCTTTCGAACAGATCGCCAGACGTACGACCAATTGGCGAAACAATGGACAGAACTATACGCGAAATGAAGGAATAATTAGTAAATGATCGCATTTTACGTTTTGATTTTATTTTTTTATTGTTAATAAAAATCTATTTTTCTGAATATGCGAGTTCGTTCGACAAATTAGAGCAATGATCGAGAGTTACAGAAAAACATAGCGTGACAATCTATCAATCTCTCCTTTATCGTATGCTGTAATTAAGGAGAACACTCATTAAAACAAATTTTATACGATGAAGAATGTTAAAGTCAAACTCCTTTTTCTACGAACAGCAATTTTTCTCGGAAAAAAGAACTAACTCGTTACTTTACTGTCTGGCTTTCTTCAACATGACTTCATCCAATAACCGCGTGCTGAACGATATAGCTCGGCTTGAACAAACCGCACTAGTCATTTTCAAGGTGTGGGGCTCATCCCTGTGTATTTTGGATGGATTGGGTCATATACTGAACATTTTTGTTTTCAACCATCGTGCTTTGCTCCCATACTCATGTGCACGCTATTTTCTAACATCAGCAATATTCGGTTGCATCGTTCCTCTATTGAATGCTCCATTACTCATGCTCCAAAATCGATTTGTTCAAATATCAATCCCCTGCAGTATGTCAACTTTTATCGTACATGTTATAAGTTAATTTAATTTAGAGTAACGCCATACTGGTTTATCGTACTTGCTTCACTCGATCGGTAAGCGTAATCATCTGCATGACATTATCGACACATGAGTGCTCCCAAAAGACTTGTTATTTGATATAACGAGCTTTTCGTTGTAGATTTTGTGCGAATTCACCATCTATGAAGCTTTGTCAATGGAATAGCTATTTGCCCTTTTTACCTGTTTGTTCAATCATTTGGATCGTCGTGTACTTTTATTTCGAATGCTTAATCGTGCATTCTTTTCGACAGTGAAGTTAGTTCTTTGGAGTTGGCTTCCTACGCTTTTAATGCTGGTTTCTGGTCTATGCACCCCTCACAATGTTCATCGAAGCAAGAAGATAATCGCGCCCCAGGACAATTCACAAAGACAAACGATACTGGAATACCATCCGATTCAAATGTTAATCGTTCAATGCTTGGTATTCGAACCAACAACAACAATCAATTCTGTTATTCAACTTTACGTCTCTATAGCTAATAGCTCAGTAACTGAAAATAATTTATTTGAAAATTAAAGATACATTTATCGCCAATATCCGCAACTTGATAACTATCTCGAGTTTATGCTTAGGCTTTTATTCGTTCGCATTACCAAGTCGACTATTTCGACAGCATCTCATTCATCTTTTCCATCGACGTTAATTAATCAACCATATTCTTTCCTACTATGAGAAATTACACAAACAATGAACAATATTGTCTATTGCAGTAGAGCGACATCTAGTGTTGCGATCTCTGTTTTGCGTTCTGTGAATTCAGTGCTTCTGTAATTATGACAGTGCAAAATTCTGCTTAGGCCTCAGATACACTATGAAAAATAAAACAGAAATAAGGAACATGATTGGCTGATAAGTTAAAACAGAATTAAGTCAGATCGACTGCTTGACTTAGGTGATAAATCGCCAATCAGAACAATCTATCGTTTATACCAATGAAAAAATAAGTGTGGCGCCGCCATCATCTGTTCTTTTTTGTCGAGGTGAACTGTCTTTCGACGACCATTTTGATAATAGCGGACGTCGATAAGAGAAGTAAACCTTTTGTTCATTCTAGTCGAGTCTTTTGGTAGATATTACAGCATATTTATCAGTTTACTGTATTGTAGATAATGCAGCAGCCACATTGTATTCGATGCATTGCTCCACCAAACCCAAATTCTATCTTGAACACTTTACCACAAGGTACAATTCGATTCATATCGATTCAACCCTCAGTCTCCGTTCGGACTTCTACTCCTCACACCCTCATGATTGATATTGTTCTCTTTGACATTTTAGTGCATTTTGCTCAATGATCTGCAGGAAAAGGTTTGTAAAAGTATAATCACGCATTGTGTAAATGGATGAAGTAAAGTTTAATATGAAAAAAGCCAGTGTATGTTAGCGACACCTATCGTTAACTTATATTTCGTTATATCTCGTTCTTATTTCTCATTGGTGGTTTAAGCACATAGTGTGTACGGGATCGAATTAAAACAAAAATCAAACTGTTTTATTTTTCATAGTGTATCTGAGGCCTTAGAATTAGCGAGAATAAAAAGCACAATTCTCAAGTCAGCATGATCACAATGTAATAAATCTATTAGAAAAATTTATCACTTCATCGAATCTTTCAGCTGACAAAAATGGCTTCGAAGAATATTTTTGGCAAATTATACGAAACGATGCGTTATTTTCATAATACACACAGTGAGCATCTGTTATCGATGCAAGAGCAATGCAAACGAGCTAAAACAACCGCTGATCTCCATCATTTAGCGTCTGATATTCATTCATTCTGTTACTATCTTCACAACCATCATACAATTGAAGATCAGCATTTGTTTCCTAAACTTGCTGCAAAAATCGATATTTCGCATTTAGAAGCTCACCACGAACAACTTGCTCAGTTATTAAACGAATTCGACAGTTTTTCTC